TGCCATAGCATTCATTGCCTTCTGATACAACATCTTATGAACGCTTGTATTCATCACATGTCTGCTCCTTATGTTTATAGGTAACTTGTTGCACCTACGAAGGGTCTTTAACAACATCCTATAAGAACTTGCGTTCGTTGCAGTCGGATGTTAGCATCCAACCTATGATGCACCGACACTTCTCCTCAAAGAGGTGTGTATTGTCCGACACGTATCCGACACAGCACATTTTCAACACTCATCTGACACGTTAGATACGCCGAAAATGTGCCCAATTAAAAAAATATTAAATACAAATTATACACGCATGTCCAACACGCGTATCTTAAATATTTTATAATTTTTTTTAAATATAATTTCTTATATTTAAATTTTTTACTCATTTTTAAATATAAAAACTCAATTTCTCTTCCTATCCACAATAGCAAATCAATCACCCGCATTTAATACCCCATTCATCAAATATTTTTATTTTCATTTCTCTTTGGCGGGTTACAACTTTGCTTTCACAACAATGTTCGATGTCATCTCAACATCGACGTCTGATGTCGTTACACATCAACATTTCAAAACGATCTTCATATCAAAGTCTGACGCTATCTTTACATTAATGCTCGATGCTAGCAATTTCTACACCCACATCTTGACATCTCATCTTTGTCCAACACCTTCTCAACATCGACAACCAACACTCTCAACATCGATGACCAACACCCTCTGAACATCACTGATAAATGCCCTCTCAATATTGACGCCCAATATTTACTCCATGACATCAATGCCCGACTCTCGACAACATTGTCATCTCTTCTCTCGATGATTGATAAACGACATCGACGCCCAACTCTCGACATCCTAATATTAAATAATTTAAAGCACAAATTCTAATTAAAATGACTTATTATTCTAAATTATTTTTCAAATTATACTTATTCAAATTTTATACACTATTTTTAAAATATTAAAACTATAATACCGTGTCCAACCCATGTCCGTGTCCTATATTTTCAATAATTGAAGTGTCCCGTGTCCGTATCGTGTTGTATCCGTGTCGCCGTGTCGGTATCTGTGTATCATAGCATCCAACATATGTGATTACTAATAAATCACCATATTCACTGCACATTTCTTGTATGCATTGAGGGCCTTCATTCTTACTTATAAGTTATATGCAATGGGCATTGTAGGCATTTTGTTGTCATTTACATGGGCTTTAGTGTGTTTGCTTGTAGATTGGTATTGACCGTGGGGTGTACTTGTTATAGCCATCGCATATCTATTATTATTTCCTGCAGGTGATATATGTATCTGTGTTCACATATAACCTCAACATCTGACATAGAATTGTCTAGTGTTTGTTGTGAATAATGTCGTTGTTTATGCTTTAGATTTATTTCTTTTGCAAAATTGAATGTACTTATTCATTGTTCAATGTTGTTGACGATATGAGCACTGTGGCATTTTTAAGCATGGTTGTGAAGGATGATATTATGTATGCTCACAATCTTTTGTTATTGCTTGCCAGTATTTGCATTTGTTGCTCGTGAGTGAGATGTAGAGAACTTATTAATCATCAGTCATTTCTTTTAGTTGTTAATTGGTTTGTACGTGGAGATCAACCGCATGGAGACTGTTATATTCATTGTATATCTTAGTTGTTATTTACAAGCAATCTATTATATGCACCATATGCCTTTGATTATGCCGCTAGATGATTTGTAAATGAAATTTCCATTGTTTCCTACTAGCTTTTGCATATTAACTGATATACTTACCATATTCACTGAAGGTTTGCATTATTACATGTAAACAAGTCAATATCTTTTTTGTTTATTCACTTATAAACAAATCATGTTCATGATTCATTGATCTCTTCCGCTAGCAAGGATTGATATGATTGTTTGTATGCTGACTTGCATTGACTGTGGAAGGGTCACACTTCAATTTTAATTTGAAATCTCATTTGTTGCATGTCTCCTTTTGAATATGCAATTGCCTCTACTATGTTCTTCTTGCATATGTTTGTGGGATAGTGATTGATGCTATTGCAAGTCTTTGATTTTCACTATCAGGACGAACAATTGTATTACAAGTTCCTTCTCCTTGCTCATAGCTTGATTGGTTGAACATAACAATTTGCTTTAGTCTCATTGTTTATGAACAAATTATCACATGCACTGAGAGTTTGCTCGTCACTTATCCTATACTCATTCTTTGATCTTCAATTGAATAATCCAAGTTTATTATTCAGCATATATATCTTCATTATGATTATGCACTTGTTAAGTTAAAGTTTAGTTCCTTGTAGTTTTTGCTGAGTTCAAGTTCTCTTGTAGCAACCTCCCTGTGGTCCTTTTGAATTCAGATCTTCTACATTTCGTTCAAGTTCAAGTGGAGTTCACTACTGATTGTTCAAGTCAAGTTCAAGTCCACTGTGTTCATTTCAAATTTAAGTTCATTATGGTTTATTTCTATTCAAATCAAGTTCATCGCCCTTAGTCCAAGTCTCCTATAATTGTTCAATAAGGTCTCCTATTTGCGGTGAATTTCGACAGCCTCTCGGTGTCCCCCCCATTTAGGGGAAAAACCAAGAGACAGTCTTTCCCTCCACACTATATGAGAGCTTCAAGTAGATGTCGGGTGACACTGCGGCTATTTTTTATTCAATACTCGCTATGCTACATGAGCGCTTAAGGGTCTCTGTCACCTGTTTAAAAGAGCACAGTTGTTTCCCCACGTATAGGTACTTAATTTTTCGTCCCCCCACGCTACGTGAGCGCTTCAGGGATTATCCACCGCAAGCATCGCACCAATTTCTCTCCCCCCGTGCTATGTGAGCATATATGGAGGTTTACCAGCTCACCGCAAGCATCGAGAGCGGGATTTTACGTTATAAATTTATACCTTTGCGTGCCGGCGACGGAGATAATGAAATGCACAAAAATACAACAATTTTTTTCTTTTTTTGTAGTTTTGTATTTTTCTCTATTTCTTTCCTTTTTTTCTTTTCACTCTTTTTTTGAAATCTTGCACTTTTTTTTGCTTCTTTCTCTTTTTTTTATCTTATTATATATATATAATAATAATAATAATAATAATAATAATAATAAATATAACTCATAACTAATAATAATTAAACAAAAAGAAATGACCCATGCGTGCTCTGTCCAAAACAGCGTTGCTTGCAGAGTATGGGTAGGCACTGTAGACACGGTTGATACGATAGGATTTTTGCAGGTATTCGGGATGGCTCAGACATTTTTTATCTTCTTTTTTTTTTCTTCCCTTATATGGAGGTCAACACTTTCATGATATTTAAAACAAAATTCTTAGATGTCCTTAGGAGTTTCCTTTTTGTTGAAATTCATCTTATCCAATTAGATAAATTTCACAAAGTCTAAAGCCAAACCCATAGGCACGTTCACCTTAGCCTATTAGGTGGACATTTCTCTCTTATCCAAACACTAAGAGAACTCTAAAAAAACACCTAAAAATCACTTAAGTTCCTCTTGATACGATAATTAATCATTTCAACCCCAAAAGGTGGAATACCAACATCATTGAATCTTAGGATTCCATGAGCAACATGCTTTCCTCCAAAGAAAATAGTGGTTATTTTATGTGTTATTCATAACCCTTCTAAATATGACATAATTAAAAATTAAACAAAATATTTAAGTTACAAACAACTTAAAGTGAAAACACCTCTGGATTAAAATTAAACATCTTTATTTCACAATAAAATAAGACACCACTTGTATTGTGACAACCACACAGCTGGCACACACTTAAGTGCACAACCACTAGACATGCTAGGATTAAGATTTTTTTTTGCACATGTGGTTGATATTTTGGTGTGATGCTTTGGATTGTCTGCATTATGGGCACTTCTTTAAGTGGATATAATAGATATATATGCTTTTTATGCAGATGGCTATATCCAAAAAGGAATAAAAAATAAAAGGGGTCATCAATGATATTTGTGGTAATCAGCATTTTATCTATATTGCTAAGAAAGGACCAAACAAATCAAAATTGATCATCACTTTATTAAGGAAAATATTAATCATAATGATATCAAATTAATTTAGACTCCAACCAACACTCAAGTTGTTTGCATACTAACTCTAGGTTCCTGCTTGGAATGAATAATATATTCAGAGGGGAGTGTGGAGAATTGATCCTTCAGCTTTCTTATTTTTACAGCCTCCTAGAAAAGAAAATGTGCATTGTTTGTATCAATAAAATTAATTGCTGCAACTGTTTTGGAAGGGAACTGTCCTGAGATAGCTGAGAGGTAGGATGTCTGCGGTATTCCTGGAAGGCTTATTTGGCAGAACCGCAGAACATGTTTTGGAAAAACTTTAAATCTCACATGGAGGCTCACAGTTGTAATAATTGCAATATGCATTGAAGGCTCACGTCTAACCTATTTTTCTTCCTATTTTTTTATTGAATTCATTTCGTTTCAATTCCACTTTGATTTCAAAAAATGTAAACATGTGTTATGATGATTTCCTTGTTTTTATCCACCAAAATAAATGAGAATCAGTGTGTATATACATGTAACCTGCTGCGAATAAAATAAGTGAATTACCTTCCGTTTACTCCAAATTTCTACAGTTGGCATTAGGATAATAATGATGAATCGAGCAGAAGTTCATAGTTAACGCAAAACATCACAAGTAGCAAAATTGTAGAATACTTCAAAAAGACAAGAGGATATAGCTCAAATTAAATAATCAATACTAGTAGGCATAATTAGAAAAGAAAGAGCAAGCTGTAATGTGGCTGAAACAGTGCTAAAACAGGAGAACTGGATTGAAATTTTAGGGTGCTGTAGGGTGAAGTTCTTAAGGAAACTTACCGCAATAAAATTGGATTTGAAACAACCAATCACAAAAAAGTACATATGCAGTTGCATTTACATAGGAGAAGCAGAAACCAACTTTAAAAAAAAAAAAACTCTTCCAAATGCCTTTACTGGTTAAATTACATACCTGCAGCTCTTTCTCCCCGGGGTATGAAGTTAAAGCATTTATACAAATGCGAGCAATGATGTCAAGCACCATTTCTCCTTGTTTGTGTTCACCAGCAAAATTAAGTAGAATCCTTTTAGAAGACAGAGGTCCATGCTTTAAACTATCAGATGCTGACGAAATATGAACTTTGGTGCCATCAACTGGCATCAAATACGTATCAACCCATCGAGCAAGAAACCATACTACAGCCTGCATAAAGCTAAAACACAAATAAGCACTACTGCTTTTACCTTTGCTCCATCAAAAAATATATAATACCCAAAAATTTTAAAAAACCGTAAACATAATTTGGCATTAAGTTTTCCTAAAAATATACCTATTTTACTATTCCTCCATAAAACGCCAAAGTTATTTTTACTAAATTCTATTTTTAATTTCAAGCATTTTGATATATAGAAGCTTACCTAAATTACAAGCCTAAGAGTAGATATATTTATTTAATAATATTTACCTTTAAGCAAGGTTGTGAAAACCGGACCGGACAACGAACCGGAAGAATGAGAGGTTCATGGTTCGACCGGTTCGACCGGAGTTATTTTTACTAAATTCTATTTTTAATTTCAAGCATTTTGATATATAGAAGCTTACCTAAATTACAAGCCTAAGAGTAGATATATTTATTTAATAATATTTACCTTTAAGCAAGGTTGTGAAAACCGGACCGGACAACGAACCGGAAGAATGAGAGGTTCATGGTTCGACCGGTTCGACCGGT